TGGGAGTCTCTTTGCAGTCTTTGCTTCTCCCAAGCTTTGCAAACTTTCACTGTCTATATTCCTTGAAAACAGTTGTTTCATATGTTTTCCCAGCTTTACAGTAGTTTAGGCTTAGAAGAAAATTCCACTATCAGCTCTACTGCAATAACCAGGAAACCTTTTTTTCTCTTAAGATAACACTTTCTTACATATTTTCTGTCTTTTAAAGCTAATTGTCTGTTTTATTTAATAGTCAAAATGTATCATATGCATGTATCATATTTATCATATATTGTGCAGCTTGTTTAGACAAGTTTTCTGCATTCAAGAATGCATTAGAATTTCTAGAAAACTGGTGTTTGTTATCATTAATTAGTTTCATGATTCTTTTGATTGCTCCTCAGTGCAGTTGTCCCTATCTGTGCTCTGCGAGTATACAGATGTGCTTAGTGATTTTTGTTCCCCATATCCTTCACCTTACCATATTGTAACATACAGATAACTCATTTCAAGGATTGTTGTTGTTTATTATATGACCCCCATAACATGAAAGTCATCCATGCATTGTGTTTTATCACTTGCAAAATATAGTTTAGGTCCTAAATTTGTGATGATCATGGCATGCCTTAAAATGCAATTACTGCCCATATCCTTAGTGGAATTTCTTCTAAAGTGTTAGCCAACTCTTCCTGCATGCATTCCTGCTTCCCTGGCCATTGCTGGCTCAGATGCCATACTCTTTCATAGTGACAATAGTTAACAATACTGTATTTTATAACTGAAAGTTGCTAAGAGAGTAGATCTTTTTTTTTTTTTAGATTTTTTTTTTATTTTTTCCTTTTTCTCCCCAAAGCCCCCCAGTACATAGTTGCAGACTCCTCGCTGTGGGTCCTTCCAGCTGTGGCACGCGGGACGCCGCCTCAGCGTGGCTCGATGAGCAGCGCCATGTCCGCGCCCAGGACCCGAACCAACGAAACACTGGGCCGCCTGCAGCGGAGCGCACAGATCCAACCACTCGGCCACGGGGCCAGCCCCAAGAGAGTAGATCTTAAATGTTCTCACCATAATAATAATAACAGCAACAACAACAAAAAACCTTGGTAATTATGTGAGGGAAGGATGTGTTAACTAACCTTATTATGATAAAACGATATACTTCTCCAAATCATCATGTTATACATCACAATGTTAAACTTACACAATGTTATATATCAATAATATCTCAATAAAGCTGGAAAAAAAAAGAAAAGGACAGTAGTTTAAAATGGATGGCATATCTTAAGTGCAATGACTGAATCATATCCTTATGTGGAATTTCCTCTAAAGTATAAGCCAACTCTCCTGGCATGAATTCCTGCTACGTTGGCCATTGCTGGTCATTGCTAGCTCAGTACTCTATCATTTTTCTCTCAAACTCCACTACAATGTTCTTTCTTCAATTCATTGATATTGTCCTCCAGTCCTGTGAGTTTCCAGAGTTATCTCTCTGCCAAGAGAGTGAGTTTCTCTTCTACTTTAATTTCTCATCCACTTTAATTTCCTGGAATTTTCTGATGCCCTCTGTGAGAATAAATCTAGGGAAGCCTGCATATTGCCTGTGTCTACTAAGCAGACATTATAAATAGTAAATGATCCTAAAGAACTGATCATGAGCAATGGTCCCTGGGAAACCAAGACTATCTCATTTCCAGAAGTGGAAGCCCCTATCCAGTGATTTGCACTCAGTAGTCCTCTAGAATTACAAAGAATAAATCTAATTTTAGACTTACTCAAACCACATCTCACAGCATTAAGTGTTTAAAGACATCTGTGTTGAAGAATATCAACTCAATTTAGAAATATATATGTATATATAAAACATGTGGTTTTACATATGTAAAACTTCTCGATTCTTTGGGTCTCCCATTCTCTGACCCATTCCTTATAAGATAAGAGTTATCAAACCCTCTCTGGGCAAATTTCCTTCTTCTTGGAGACCAATACTTAGGTCAATGTTTGCCCTTTTGAAGTACAGCATCCACAACTGAATGTAATGGTCTGTCAGCTGCGTGAGTCGTCCAATTCTAATTATCATTTTTGCTGAAAATATGTGAGTTATCTCCATTCATAAGATGTCCACCTGAAATAATGAATGTATTTGCTATTTTTAGAAATACATGCGGATATTGACATGGCACACTCAAATTTGCCTTACTCTTAGATTTAAGGTATAATGTGGATCACTTTGCTGGTAGAATAACAGTGGCTCAGCCTGAGTCTCCTTTCCTGCCTATCGTGTTGACAATTTAGACAAATTGGAGTTCTCCATTTGAGTGTAAGAATCTATTGGATAATGGCTTTCCCACACAAACTGCAGAGATCTAAGTGACTGGGCTTGCATTAGACAGTTTCTCTTTGCTCAGCAGTATGGTCCTATAGGAAGGAAGCAAGGGAAAAAATGCTGAAGAGGATGAGGAAATCCAGTTACTTTCTACTCTCAGCTCATTTGCTAATTGTTTCACACCAGTATCTTGAGTACAGTTTCTATCTTTGCAAAATGAAATTGAACTAAACGATTTCTAAGAGGTTTTCTAACTCTAAAATTACTTTATGCTATTTAACAGAGTAAATATTTATTGAGGACTAGTCATATGCAATGTGGAGTGGTGTAAGAGTGGGGAGAAAATGCCTGTATCATGGAAGTCTAAGACCATTCCATTTTCACATCTACCTGCAATTGAGGGGGTCTGAAGTTGTCCCTAGCCAATGTTTGGTTCTCATCAGAAGCAGAGTCTGAGTCCTCTGCGTTCTGCCTATTCATCCTTCCTGCTCCCTTCAACCCCTGGCAACCAGTGGTCTTTTTACTGTCTTCATTTTCCTTTTCCAGACTGTTATGTAGCTGGAACTACACAGTATACAGCCTTTTCAGATCATTTTGTTTCAGTTAGTAATATGCATTTAAGGTTCCCCTATCTTTTTATGTCTTGATAGCTCATTTCTTTTTAGCTCTGAGTAATATTCTATTATTTGGATGTACCGCCTTTCATTTATCCATTCACTATTGAAGGACAGCTTCACTGCTTCCAGATTTTGGCAATTATGAATAAAGCTGCCATAAACATCTGTGTGTAGGTTATGGTGTCAACATAAGTTTTCAATTCCTTTGGATGAATACCCAGGGATGCCATTGTTGGATTTTATGGTAAAAGTATGTTGAATTGTGTAAGAAACTGTCAAGCTGCTTTACTGAGATGTCCATAAATACACTTTCATTTTTCAATAATTTACCAACAAAGTTTGTTGCACCCCTTTGCTGCATATAAGAGCCCCAGATAGTCCAAAGCATGTACTGGCACAACAGGTGACCCTGCAAACTGCTCAGCTCACACACTGCCTTCTGTGACCGTGAACCTGAGCCTGCATGTGTTCCTGTCCTGTGTCCTGCTGCCCATGTATCTCCTCTGCTAAGGCACATGATCCATCCTTTAATGAGACTTTACTTACAAAACACAAGCACAAAGATGAAATTATTAAGAATTTCAAGACAAGGATAACAAAGTATTAAATCAAGGTCAGGGTGCCTTCCACAACTGCAAAGGTGACATGTCCAGGAGTCTGGCCCTGCTCCCAGCTTCCTGGAATCTGCCATTTGTGTTCATCTTAATTTCCAAGGTATCAGTCCTTTCTATCATTACCCTTTCATTAACATAGACAGTGCAGGTTGGAATTCTTTCTTTTTTCATTTTTTATTATTATTTCATTGTGTTTACACTGGCTTATAATATTGTGTAAATTTTCAGGTGAACATCATTATGTTTTAGTTTCTGTATAGACTGCATCATGTTCACCACCAAAAGACTAATTTCCATCCCTTACAGTACTTATGTGTCCTTTTACCCATTTCGCTGTCCCCTAACCCCTTCTCCTCTGATAACCACCAATCTGTTCTTTGTATCTACGTGTTTGTTTAATTCTACTTGCACTTTAATATTTCCACACTCAAGGTTAAACTTTAAGTTTGGTTGTCAGAAGTCTTTGTGCCTGGCTATAACCGATGTGGGTTTCTTTTGGGGTGGTCCTGGGAGATTTCTGCTCCCTTTTCCAAACCGTGCATGATGTTTCAAAATTATGAGTAATAGATTAATTCAAAATGCAAGGAAGTGCAATGGATTTTAATGAAACAGAATGAAAATTTCCAGGAGCTCTTCCATACAAGGTGCTATTTGGAAATGACCTATGTGAAGATTTTTGTCAGTGACCTACATAAACACATTGTACAAATGGATCAACAGAAATCATTTTGATTTTGTGATTCTGAAGCATCTTCTATATCAGGTAGCTCAGAGTATAAGGTGTAATGTCATTCCAGAATCACTAATTTACTAATAATGTGAGCTTGAGCTAGTCTCTTATGCTCTGCAATCCTCGCTCTATTCAGGCATAAAATGAGAGAAAGTACTTATTTACAGGGTATAGTTACTATTCAAATAGATAATATATGTAAAAGCTAGACAGAATTCCTGACTCTCAGAAAAATTATTTTTATTGTATTCGTTATTTCCAGGAGTGAAAAAGCTGAATCCAGCCTTTAAAAAACATTATACATGCTCTCTTTCCTTTTCCTTGAAAGTAGAACCATTTGTAGTTAATTGAAAAACTGAGTCATCTATTTGTATTTGTTGATCACCATAACCTTTTTTTTCACCTTTGCAAGTCTTTTCCATCAGAGTAATTTACGTGTAATTTATATGCTATTTGCCAGGAGATCTGTTTTAAAAGGGCATGGACATTAGCATCTTTATCAATTGCTTCAGCTGGTTCATATTAGAGCTTTTTATCTGCAAAAAGATTTCTGGGAATAAAAAGGGCAAAAAAATCACAGGTGAAATGAGTCTTGAAGGGGCTAATTTAGGAGGGAAAAAGTGCTGGAACATGAATCTGAAAACTCAAAGATGTGCAAAGGCTGCTGTTGGGGCAATATGCCTGCTTCATGGAAGGGGTGGGGCTGCAGGCCCAACTGCAGTTTAAGTACAGGCTACAGATCACCTGGGAGCACTGTGCCTCACTGCACAGAGGTAGGTGGCTGAGTCTTCCAGTTGAGAGGCTGTGATGAGTAGGGTACTGTACAGTTCTTTAGAATTCACTGTGCCGTTTAATCTTTCATTCTTCTTCGTGTCTGAAACTATGACAAATAGGTTGATGAGGCTGCCTCCAGGATTCTGTCGGAACCACTGCACATTGTCCACAGTAGTAGAAAAATTACACCTCAGAGTGGAGCTGGTTCCTTCCTGGAGGCTGAGGGCTGAAGGACTCTGTTCCACATTCACCCCTAGCACCCCTGCTTGGAAAGAGAAAAACAAACTCAAGTGATGTCACTGGGAAGTGACTGACACAGTTTCTAAACGTCTAAAAGATCCCAAGAAACACCCATGAGTATGTAGGACCATCTAGGAGCTCTGTGCCAGCTCTCCCTACCCTCTCTCCCACTGTCAGCTGTGGAACACTCCCCAGTCCCCTCTCTGGGATGGCCTGAACTCACAGCAAACTTGGAGGCACAGAAGCCCAAGCAGAGCTCCCCAGTGTCTCTTCATGACTCCTTGCCCAGTTGCTGTGACTTTGCTCCTGCTTTGGAGAGTGTAGAGTCTTGGGTCCAGACAAATTTTGTTCTCACAGTCAGTATGTTCTACCAGCCTCACTGGGCACCAGCCACATCTGAGCTCTGTCATTCACATAACAAGAAACTCCACCCACAGTGTCCCGGTGAGCCTGCGAGGTGATCTCTCCAAAATTGTGCTTGTGAACAGTCCAAGGAGGCAGGGGTAAAATTTTGGATATATACAGGTATTACATTTTCTTTTTCTTAAAACACTTTATGTAAGAGAAGTTTGTGGAATAGTGTATGAGGAAGAGTGGATGATCTTCCTAGAAGAATCAGTCTTGATTCATTACATAGAATCTTGGAGATTCATAGGCAAGAGTGATACCATTTCCTAAATTGCATAGTTTGACAGAATTTGAGAATTCTTTTGAGAATTCAGTTATATGAAAATTCTGATAAAGGAAAATGATCTGATAGCATGCATTGTGTATTGCGGAAGTAAATACAATTTATTGAAATCTGGAGAGTTCTAGAAACCAAGACATACAGTCAGTCTCTGCATAGAAAGTGATTCCAACAGGAATTTGGTTGGTGAAAAATAGGATGTGCATATCTTATCCACGCTAACGTAATTTCCAGCTCTCCTCTCCTCTTGTCCAACTCTTAGCCACCCTAGATCCGCACAGCTGATTCTTATCTGGCCACACTTTGCTGGTCAAATTAAATATTGTCCTCCCCCGCTCCATCTATTTTTGTCCCTTATTTTTTACTCTTCTCTTCTCTTTATTCTTGTTCTTTCTAGTCTCAGGGGAAATATATGACAAGGTAAGATTTCTGATGTTTTGGAATAATGTCTAGGTCAGTGGCTTGGGGAATTTAATCATAACAATTAAAACATTGGAAACAGATAATGGGGATGTTTTCTGCTAAGCTTCCATGCTCACAATGCCCAGTAATATTCCTATTCCCGGAAAGTCATCCTCACAGTGGATTTATAAAGATGTGAGATCCAGCTTTCTGAGGTTTATATAGAATGGCAGAACTGGAAACCTGAGATGAACTTTACACAAACACCGTGCCCCTTTCCCTCCACCTTTGCTTTCTATAATTTAACTGACTCACGCACTTTCTGGTCTTCTCTCATGTTTATCCCCTTGGGACCATCAGAGAAAGTTATTTCCTATTAAGCCTAGAGTGCCCCCTAGTGGACTGAAACCGTCAACAAAGACCACTTCAGACCAACCAGCTCAACAGTCACACAACCCCAAGCAACATTCACTGTTTCCTGATGAAGGAAATGCAGATGGTCAGAAAACAAAGTAGCTGCCTAGATTGAATTAGAATTAACAATGAACCAAATCCTACTTAAAGTGGCATTTCATGAAAATTAATATCTTAAAATAATTTTGTAAATCTCATCTTGTGCTGTTTATTTGATTTCTTTACCTTAGTTCAAAATAAATTCATAAACATTTATTGAAGTTTTAGTATAAATAGGGCAATTTACTAGGTCTTAAGAATATATAAAAGAGGACAATATATAGTTTAGAGTCTACTAGGAAAGACAAAAATATGCATAACAATAATTGAGTGAAAGAGTAGGATCCCAAGAGGAGTGAGAACTAAAACCTGCGTGACCCCAGAGGTGGGAGAAATATTTACGCTTGGGGTGGTTGGACAAAATGTTATGAGGAACATGCTCATTTTCTCCTTTCACCCTTTTTTGATGAAAAGAATAGAGAAGAATATGGAAAAACTTTTGTGATCGCCTTTGTTGATGCAAATAATTTGTAATCGATCTATAAATCAAAATTGGGGTGAGTTTATTATGAGACAGATGTGAGGACTAGCCTAGGGCCTTCTTTTCTCAGGGAAAGGAGGGCACCAAAGAAGTGGGGTGTAGCATGTGGTTATATAGCATCCTGGAACAAACAGCATACAGCACATATGACAGGAATGTCCCTTTTACAATTGTCACAAGATTCTGAACTGGCATAGCGGTTCAGTGGTCAGCAGGTCACTGGTCACAAAGTGAGCACAGCATGTCAGTAATTAATTCTTAGTTTCCAGGAAGAGATGCTCATTCTTAAAGAAATGCTGATCTTGGGGGAAGTTACATACCTATCTTTAGGGGCATCATTCTTGTCTTTGGGACATTGTAAAAGTTTAAAGCAAATGTATAATGCGTGCTCAACAGGTCACATCAGGCCTATTTGGAAAAACGAGGTAGGGCCAAATTAGTTTTAGACCAAATGGCTTCCTCATATACTCTAATATATCCTACTGCTTTTCATAGATTTATCATTTTTATGACTTTTTATTAATTTTAATGATAGGAGGATTTCATGAATATGTGGATTATTAAAAGTAATAAAACATTACATATAGACTAAAATCCACCTTTACTACCACCCCCAGTCCTGACTCTTGTATCACTTATTACCCTAATTCTTTCTTCATCTTGGTCAATTTGGAGTTGATGCTTCCAGGGGTTTTATTATAGATTTGAATCAACAGAAAATGCATAGTATTTTATTTATACTTTATTATAATACAAATAAACCTTTGGGCATAACTTTCTGTAACTTGCTTTATACTCAACAATAAATTTTGTAGGTTTTATTGTGTTAACACACATACGCATCCTTCTGTTCCATTGTATTCTGTATTATGGATATACAACCACTTATGCATCCCTTCCTCTATTGATGAACAGTGTTGGGTTGGAAAAATTTTCTCTTCTTCCCTTCTAGATTCCTTGGATAACCTAATAATTAAATTGATATAAGATAAATTAATAGGAGAAAAACGAGTTTTATTATTTGCATTTTAGAGCCCCATAAAGATTTGAAAACTCAAAGGATAGACAGATAATTGAGGTTTATATACCATCCTGAGCTTAGGAAAGGGGTAGGGGTCTGGGGAAGACCAATCACAGAAAGGCAGAGGAGATGCCTGGGAAACAAAGATTGCCCTATTATGTGGATAAGTTGATTAGGTGAAAAGTTATTTCTACTAATAGCTCTCTTCCTGGAACAGGCCCCCTTTCCAAAGTAAATTTAGGGAGTTGTCAGGGAAGTAAAGAGCTTTTCCTGAATCTGTTGTGTTTTGATTGCCTTTAGCTCAAAATAATCCTTATGCCACAAACATATTTTGGGGTAGCAAAACCTGCTCCCCTTCAACAGTTAAGATGTTGATTTTTTATCTATAAAATACAGCACTAGCACTATAGTAAACTTTTTTGAGCATTCCTCTTTATTCACACGTGTGCATGTTTCTCTAGGAACAGAGACTGGGAAGGAGTGAAGAGACAAGCCATGAGGTTAGTAGGAAGAATCACTCCAGTCAGAGGTGCAATCAGGGACAAGGGCTCTGAGAAAAAATGGAGTGAATTCATGTTCTGATTGGTGAATGAGTGAAAAACAGAACGATATATTAGAATATATGAGGAAACCATTGGTGAAAACTAATTCTGCCTGACCTTGTTACTCCAGAAAAGCCTGACACCATCTGTTGAGCATGCATTGTACATCTACTTTAAACATTTACAATGTTCCAAACACAGAATAATGCCCTTAAAGATAGGGATGCATCTTCCCCTCATATCAGCAATTCTTTAAGGATAAGTATCTCTTCTTGGAGACTAAGGATTAATTACTGACCTGCTGTGCTCACCTTGTGACCTGCTGTGCTAGCTAAGCATCTCATGATAGTAGTAAAAGAGACATTCCTGTAATATGCGATGTATGCTCTTTGTTCTAAGATAGTGTATAAGCACTTTGTCCACCCCACTTCTTTGGTGTGCTCCTTCCTCGGAGAAGGACGCCCTTGGGGCAGTTGTCCTCAGATCCAGCTCATAGTAAACACCTCAAGTTTGATTTATACATTATGGATTATGGATTATTTGCATCAACAGATTATTGTGCTGGATGGTTTTCTTTTTTCTTATTTTTCCTAACGTGCATTGGAACTGTAGTTTATCATCTCATTTGATAAGTTTTCTTTGAAATTACTGGTCTGACAAATAATTGGTGTACAGTCTACTCCAACCACCACTAATGTAATTCAAAAGATAGTAAATCAGGAAGAGAAAAAGAATACGCAAGGAGAAGGAATGGTATAGACTGGAGGAAATGCTAGACAGTAAAATTGGGCATAGAAAAAAATACATACACAAACATATATATAATTTAAGTATACTTGTCGTAAGAACAGAAAGACACTACATTTTTTATATAAGTAGAGAAAAAATAGAAAGCTTTTATCAAGGCAGTGGAAGACAGATTGGAAAGGAAAAGAAAAAAATAAGAGCATGTGGTGAAAACCAAAATATTCTAAATGAGTCAAATATATGACTAAGAAAAACAAATACAGAAAGAGATTATTTGATTAAATTGAAATTAAAAAATCTTGTTACAAATTTCTTAAGGGATAGACATGTTACCACATAAAGGGCATGATCTGCTTGCTATGAGACAAAAGCCAGTCGTCAAGAGGCAAAATGGTGGCAGAGAAAGGGCATTTTATTACAGCTTACTAGCAAGAGAGAAGACGGCTGACTAACGTCCAAAAGAATCATCTTAAGGGGCACAGAATCTTGAAAAATTATGTAGGCCAGTGGGTTACGGGGGACGGGGTTAGGAACATTGACCCTCTGGTGTTACAGACTGGGAGTTGCCACACCAGATCTTTCAGTTTTCATTGATGATGGCTATCAGCATAGGCTCTCTGTTTGAGGGTCATCACATTCCAAAGGAACTCAAAAGAAAGAAGTTATCATCTTATCGCATCTGGGAGGTATATGCGCAAACAAGGGTCATAAAATCTATAGAACAGGTGGATCTCCTACAGGGTGCAAATCCAGCTGGGTTAGTCAGAGGTCATTCAAAGTTACAATATGATCTCTTTTCTACAATATGGCTTCACTTAGGTCAACCTTGTGTTGAGATGGTTTCAGACATGAAAGAAAACAACTGTGAGGGATAAGAATTTGCCACCCCAAAATGTGTGTCTTTGGCTTAATTATTTCTAAGAACAAAAGACTCAGACAGAAACTTTGACCTTCCCTCTAATTGCCTAAAAGCATTTAAGATAGAAGGTCTGTTCCGGGAA